AACAAGAGTATGACTAGCAATACATGCAACTTTTGGTTATCTATTTAAGTAGTCTGCCCTAGGTTCCACACTAGCTACCATACCTGCATCTAACTATAGAAGATACCCATTTAAATCCTCTGGCTCCATTTCTATAATATGCCTACCTTAACACTCTTATTAAGATTAGCAATATCATAAAATAACCCTAAAACTTTAGCTATATGGGCTTTTATTTTTGTGGTAAACCTAACAGAGTGGTACATGTCCCACACATATATTCACCTGCATGTTCGGTAACTTTTTCCAACTAGTACATGTTGTGCTGCCACCGAGTCCGTATTTCAAGCTATTTTTTTAGATACTACCGTAACCTGATCTATATCTCAAGCCACAACCTTTCTAATTAGTTTTCACTTATATACTTCTGCTTTTGCAAGGTTTACAATGACCCTAGTACCCACGTTCCAACTTCTTTCTTTCCCAGATTCCTTACCGGTCACTCCCTTACTTCCAGCCAGCAACCCAGAAGGGTTGGTCTGCCCAGGCTCTAGGTGCTTTATGGTCTCCCCTCACCTTGGTACATACTCCAAAGCACAAGTTCTTTTCTTCTAGTAGCAAGCCAGCAGTTTGGCTAGTGTGTCCCCTATTTAAGGACCTGGTTGCTCGGTTTTTTAGTCTTGGTCTTTAGTTCCAAATTCAGTCTTCTTGTAGCACTGTCAAAGATTACTGCTACTTCTCAACTCGGAACTTGCCAAACAGGTTTTCAGTAATTCCGGTTTCCTAGATTTATTGCGCCAAAGCTTTATTGAAGATAAGTTTGATAATCTTAAAATTTTGGCCAAAAAAATCTTTGTAATAACTCCATATAGTGTATCATGTAAGTAGATTTTTTCTATTTTTAGTTGGTTTTATAGTAAAAAAAGACAGCGATTAAGTTTAAAGAATTTGAAATCACTTACTAAAATTCGATATCATAATTTGTTTAATGCATGTAAAGAATTATTATATGATGCAAAAAACAAAACTGATGAAGAATTAGCAGCAATTATTCAAAGATCTTATTTGTTTGAGGATGATGAAGATGATGGTAAAAATGATAGTAAAAATGATAATGATAGAGAATCTGATGATAATGATTTTGTAATTCCTAATCATCAAGTAATGGTTTTAGTTATTAATGATATTGTAGACCTGAATTATCAAGTGTTTAATTTGGTGGATGATTTACATACTTCAAATGAAGAAAATCATAATCCAGATATTGCTATGAACAAAGATTATAAATTTAATTTAGAAGAATTAATTCAAGATCAAGATTTTAAATAACATATTTTTAAAGTCATATATATTATTGTTTATGTTATAAGTAAGAATTATATATAGGGAGAGTCAATAAAAAAAGAACAAATTTTTTCTAAGTAAAAGTTTTCTTGACTTTAAGCTTAAATATCTTAGCAATTATCTTATTAAATT